GACAGTCAAAATGGTGAGACACAAGAGGACTCTCACTGGTGAGAAACTCTTTGAATGTCCGGATTGTGAGAAAAGTTTCAGTTTCAATTCCAACCTGTTTATTCACCAGAGGACTCACACAGGAGAGAAACCATATGAGTGTCTGTATTGTGGGAAAAGTTTCACTCAGAATGCCAGTCTGGTGATACATCAGAGGACTCACACGGGAGAGAAGCCATATGAGTGTCTGGATTGTGGGAAAAGTTTCAGTCGGAATTCCCACTTGGTGACACATCAGAGGACTCACACAGGAGAGAAACCATATGAGTGTCCGGATTGTGGGAAAAGTTTCAGTCAGAATGACAACCTGATGAAACATCAGATGACTCACACAGGAGAGAAACCATATAAGTGTTTGAATTGTGGGAAATGTTTCTCTCAGAATTGTAGTCTGGTGACACACCAGAGAACTCACACAGGAGAGAAACCATATAAGTGTTTGAATTGTGGAAAAAGTTTCCAGCAGAATGGCCACCTGGTAAAACACCACCGAATTCACACAGGAGAGAAACCATATGAATGTGCGGATTGTGGGAAAAGTTTCGGTCAGAGTTCCCACCTGGTGACACATCAGAGGACTCACACGGGAGAGAAACCGTATGAGTGTCTGGGTTGTGGGAAAAGGTTCAGTCAGAATGACAATCTGATGAAACATCAGAGGACTCACACAGGAGAGAAACCATATAAGTGTTTGCATTGTGGAAAAAGTTTCAGTCAGAATTCCTACTTGGTGAAACACCACCAAATTCACACAGGAGAGAAACCGTATGAGTGTGCGGATTGTGGGAAAAGTTTCAGTCAGAGTTCCCACCTGGTGAAATATCAGAGGACACACACAGGAGAAAAACCATATGAATGTCCAGATTGTGGGAAAAGTTTCCAGCAGAATTCCCACCTAGTGGAACATCAGAAGACTCACACAGGAGAGAAACCATATAAGTGTTGTGATTGTGGGAAAGGTTTCTCTCAGAATTCGAGCCTGGTGGTACACAAGAGGACTCACACGAGAGAGAAACCATACAAATGTCCTAATTGTGAGAAAAGTTTCGATCTCAATTCCAAATTGGTGATTCACCAGAGGACACATGTGGAAGAGAAACCGTATGAGTGTTTGGATTGTGGGAAAAGTTTCAGGCAAAGTTCCTACCTGGTGAAACATCAGAGGACTCATACGGGCGAGAAGCCATATGAGTGTCCAGATTGTAGGAAAAGTTTCAGTCAGAATTCCCATCTGCTGAGACATCGGAGGATTCACACAG